TTACTCATAATACTGAAGGAAATAGTGGGAGGTTTTGTACATTCTTATTCATATAATGTTAATAAGTTATTAGCAAAGTGTCAACATGTGAATACGAAGAAAGTTTGTACTCTCATGATTTTATATTTATCATTTGTGTTAAATTTGACAATCTAATTACTAAACTTAGAATCTCCTAGTGACACTAGATGTCTTGTATGTGCATTAAAGCTGTGTTAACACATTCTTTGTGGTATGTGACTCATTGATTACACTAAGTGCCTAAGTAAGATCATTGCAAATCTAATGCTAAAATCATAATGTGTCTTTGAAAAACTAAGGTTTATGATTTTATTATAACTGATTAGATTTATGTTGTTCTTAACGGCTATTCAAATGCTAGTTGGTATTCTAGCATTAGTAATTGTAACCCGTTAGTGGTTAGAAATTCATGCTTGGTAGTGAGAGATGTTTCTTGATAAGTGAAACAAACAGTAATCAGTCTCTCCAATATATAAAGGAAAAGAAAGCTAAATTTGTTAAACTATCTTCAGTACATAAGGAGGTGAAGTGGCCAAAGGGCGCTTGCCTGTGTCGCCTGTAACTTTGTGTTGTGATAGTTAGATTAATATGTCTTGAACATTGTGTAGAATTTGACAATGGGTAAATATAGACATATTAATTCAAGATGTGTATTTCTTAATGAGATACAAGTATAGATGTTGTCGGTGTTGTGTTTGTGAAAACATAATTTTATTATGGATCCATGAACCAAATCTCTTGCGAGAGAATTGGTTTTTTTTGACAACATGAGGAATGTGAATAAAATCTCAATAATAAAATCACGAACAATGGAAATCCAACCTTCTTCTAGTACTACCCCTAGATTGCAAGGTTTAAAGGGTAACAACAAGTTGTTTTGTGGTTGTGAGCACCAAAATTCGTGTATACCATTCCAAGTATTAATGTTTAATATATGTTACTCTTAAGTGAGCAAGTTGAGAGAAATCTCTTAATGGAATTATTCCTGAGCGTTTCATTACAGTATAGTAATAAACTGATATAACTTCCACTATTGTATCATTGGGGTGGTGCCGCTCCTAGCAGAAATTTGAGATTATCTTTTGTATATGATCAAGAATCTAGGATGAGTACATGATCGGTAATAGTGCTAAATCATAATGTGAATTATAAGGAATGCTATGAGTGTTTGTGCGTGCATTATTAAGTCTATACTAGACTGATTATTAGTTTAAGCAACGAGCCACCAATAACTTGGCTAGTTAGGTGACTTAATTTCACTACGATGTGGTTTAAGACGAAAGTTACCACCTCTTAAGCGCGATTCTGGTGATTGTATAATTATTTTATATTACAAACTAAGTGGGGAATGTTGGAAATTTTAATTTGTAAAATAAAATAATTAATTTAGAATTTAAGGATGATAATTAAGTTGTCAGCCCTTCACTTGCATGGTGGTTATTTCCTACAAGCCAATGGTTGTGTACTTAATTTGTATCATTTGTTTCTGCAAGTGTTGCCTATAAATATGTGAACTAGTGCACTATTTCATTCAAATTTTTGCATTCCTAAATTCTTGAGAATATTCAATAATTGCAAGTTGCATGTTTTTGTGTTATTTATGTCCTAAAGGCAAATTGCCAAACAAACCCGGTATTACAACATGAAGGGGGCAAATATTGTCTTAAAGATAGTGTCTAACACGATTAGAACACATCCAAATCTTGTGATTCCCCATTATTGTTAGATTCAAATTTCTAATAAAGTTCTTTCATTTTTATTTTTTAGTGTCTTTTATATTGTCTCTTTGATTACTACCCCATAATACTTTCAAATACAATTTCAGAGCGGACATGTCCCCAATATTTGCTTTCTTTACTTCTCTTAATTGTATTTCCTCTGTGAGTGTTTCTATTGGGTTTCTTTAATTTGCATTTAGATTTCGAATTTTGACTGACTGTTCCTTCTACCTTAATGTGAGAAGGGCTTTGTTACAAACTGTTCGTCAAACAAAAGTACTTAAGTTCTATTGTGCTTCCTTAAGTTAATGAAATCTGGTCCAAATCCCAATATTCTAAAATTGGGCATGTATTGTTAAGTTGTTTCTAGGGAACACGAAAAAAAGGGAAAAAAAAGTGAGTTTAAATTAATTTGGGAATGGAAAATTACTGGTGAATGAAGATGACGATGATGGTTTCTTGTGCAAGTGATGGGAGAGAGTAATTAGACGTTGACACAATGAGAATAATTTAGAGAAATCATGTATAATTTCCTTTATAACTTAATTTTTGTGTTGGCAATATCAGTGGCGAAAAAATATTTTACATTTTTTGTCATAATTGTTTATTGCTAATTGGAACATCACTAGTGATCCCAGGGAAAAAAAAGAAAGAAAAGGAAAGGCATAGATTCATTTTATAAATGTCCAATAGATGTAAGTCATAAAACTATTATTTTCGTCTAAAAATTATAGAAAAGGTTATTTATTTCTTTAGTCGAAAAAAATTTATTGAACTAAAATAATATACTATAGAATGGACGATTTTAATTGAACCAAACAGATTGATTTTTCTATGACAATGGGAATATGTTTCTTTTTTGCTCCTCCCATCAGAGACATGTGAATTTCATAATTCCATACACTACAATAAAAATTGGCTATTAATACATTTATAGTGGGACACTTTTTCTAAAACGTGTCTCATTATATGTGTATTAGGACATTTGCTAAAAAGTGTCTTATTAAAAATGAAAAAGTGTATACATATTATGAAACACTATCATAAGTGTATTATGTGAGGTTGCTTGTGAACTATTACCTTACTTAATGGGTCACTTTAAAGTGTCTTAATAAGTGATAATCTAATGATACACTTTCAAATGTTTTATGACTTATTGTGACTCGATTATAGGAGACACTATTTAGTAGTGTCCCACGCAATGTGAATCACATGTGTTCTATTACACCACTTATTGAGACACAAAAAGTGTCTATACTACTCACTTTTGTTATAGTAAATATATATACCCTATTAATACTTGGGGGAGGGGGGGGGGGTGAAAATGACGTTCTGGTGCAGTTATAGATGAATTGCAAGAAGGATACATATAAGGAGTTTCAAGATGAGTTTCATCAGCAACCAAAAGAAAATGAATAATGCTGCCGAACTAATTTTCCAATTTTCTTCCCATCTTATGTTTAGAGTTTCATTTGGTGTGATTAAGAAAGAAAGGCAGAAATCGGTTCAAAAGAACACCCTTACTGAACACGAACTTTTAGAGATCAGAAAGATACATACCGAGGAAATATTGGGCTTAAGCTACTTATCATTTATCAACTCCTCGAGAAGGAGTGAAATTCTCAGCAAAATTTAACCAAAACAAAAGAAAAAAAAAAGCTTTCTTTTTTCCCTTTCTTAAGAGGTTTATCATGAGCTAATATTTATTCAGCTCGTTTTTCGACTGATTGTCGTGTAAAAAATTACACAATTATTTTCTTAAGAAGAATTTTAATGAATACTACTACTATAATATAAATTTTCAAACTAAGTCTCTGCTTGATAATCACTTATTAAATTCATTTAATAATATATTTAAATGACTAATAAAGTAAAACGAGTTGGATAATTATCATTTTTGAAAATTTTCAATGAATTTACTTAGATTATTTATTATAGATTAATTACATTTGATAACTTCAATTACAATATCTAAATTAGTTAAATGGGTCTGAATAAGTAGATAAAAAAAGTAGTTCATAATATTCTTTTTCAAAAAGATTTTGTGCTTGTTTGGACGTCAACTTACATTTCATTTTGCCATTTAAAAGTGGAAAGTGTTTCAAATTGAAAACTAAATGGGAAATAAAAATGTTGTTTGGATGTTGGTTTTGAAAAAAAGTATTTTGAACTACATTTTGAAAGATCAAGTACAAGTCATCACTAAACAATTAAATACTGTCAATTATAGTCACTGCAAAAAAAGAATTTTTTCAAAAACAATCACTCAACAACGGAATCCTGCCAAATTTGTCATTGAACTATTTGTAGTTCTAAAATGGTTATTATACTAACAAAAAGTGTTTCAAGTTGGAATTTAAAATGTAAATCAGAAAGTTGTTTGAATGATTTTTTCTTTTTCATTGGGTTTTGTGTTTCAGAGGTAAAATGAGACAAAATGCAAAATGAAAGATTGGCCAAACTAGCTTCTTATAATTGGGCTATAGTTCATTCTAACGATAAATTTTTTCCAAAGGAAGAAAACAAATTACCTAATTACTTGACATATATAGCCAAAATTGTTTTTGAAATAGGCATGAAACAAATTAGTGAATACAGTTTTAAGTTGCTATATACTTTCCCCATGATTGTGAGGTACGTTAGTTTTTTACATGATTGTATTTCATTATTCATCTCACATTGGATATGATGTTACTATTATCTTCAGAAATTTATCAGTAGTTTTTCTCTTAAAATTTGATCATAAACGTTCATGCAAAATTTACACACAAAATCTATAGTAGCCACTAGCCACCAGTCACACGCACGCGCGGGGGTGACGTTGCACACAGTCACACAGTAGGGTAGGTAAGCAAACTGGACTACTGAGGGAGTTGGACTCAACAAGTAAATAGTAGTACACTGGTACTGGATTGGAGTGCTGGATCTGCTAAACCCAATGGAAATGTAAACTGTAAAAAAACCGAAAAAACAAGGCCCTTTAATTTTTAACCATTAAAGGAAAGCCCCACCTACACTCAGTCATCAGGCACGCATTTCCATCACCGCCGCCACTCACTCCCTCACCTCACATCCCTCCTCCTCCTCCCCAGCCCGCCGCCGGTCCCCCATCTTGGATTCGCCGCCAATGTTTACTTTCTGAGTGATTATCACCTACGGACGGATCGCGAACGAATTGCCGGATTCACTTTCCCAGTTTCCCGACCGATCGTCTGCAGCTCAGTGACGTCAGCGAAGAGGCCGTTGTAGTTAGGGTTTCGAATGGCGTCGGAGGATGTGAAGCCGAGTGAATCGGCGGTGTCCAAGATAGTGAATTTAGCTGAGGACGCCAAGCTTGCTAGAGCGGAAATTAAGCCTACTAGTCATGCTGTTCTCAGTATCTGCAAGTCTCTTGTTGCTGGTGGTGTCGCTGGCGGCGTGTAAGTTCGTTCAAAATCATCCGCTATTTTGGTGTTACATTTGACTTAGTAAACTTTTTCCGGTTGATTTTTTTTTTTTTTGTGGCTTTGTTTGTCGAGCTTTTATCATCCATTCAGCATCTTCTAATAATGGTTACAACACATGTGAGCGACTGCATGCTGAAATATTGAAAGAATTGTAATTCGTTGCCTTACATTTTTGGGTCCTTGTTCCCCCTTTTATTCTTTCGGTCTTGGTAATTAGACTTTGACGCTTACATGAGGATCATTTCTTATTACAATTTAAAGATTTCAGTATTAAGTATAATCCATTTCCATTTTGTGTTGCGTGAAAGGAAGCTGCTCTGTTCAATAATTTGTCGCACTTTCATCTATTTTTGTCATATGAAATATTGCTTTGGATTTAATTGTGTGTTTCGTGCGGCCCCTTGAACTTTCGAGTGCCTCGCTTGACCTGACATGCTTATCATTTAAAAGATTATTGACCACTCAATTTTACATTTAATGTTGAATTTTTGAGTCTCTGGCTTGGCCATTTATGCTTATCATTCATGTTTGATTTCTATACTCAAGTGTCTAACCTACTCATGTCTAATTCCAGATCAAGAACTGCTGTAGCTCCATTGGAACGGCTAAAAATATTACTACAGGTTAACTTGATGCAGATTCTCTTTATCCTTGTATATCAAGTTCTGCTTTACAGCCATTTCAATGATAGGTTTGCTGTTGACTTCATAAACGTTCACTTGAACTGTCGTGCTTATCATTTGAAACATTCCTGCTTTCAACTTGCTATATTCTTTACTGTTCTTGGACATTCTACCCAAGTTTCTTCTATGTCATGTCCTCCGGGGGTTGTGTTTTTATATCAATTTATTTTTCCATGAATTTTGCAGGTCCAAAATCCCCATAGCATAAAGTATAATGGTACAATTCAAGGGTTGCAATATATTTGGAAAACTGAGGGTTTCAAGGGATTGTTCAAAGGAAATGGAACTAATTGTGCTCGCATTGTCCCAAATTCAGCTGTAAAGTTCTTCAGCTATGAGCAAGCTTCCAAGTGAGTTCCTGTCTAAAAATGCATCTTCTATAAGATAAGACTTACAAGCGCTGTATATCTTTATACATGCTCTGTGATTCTTTCATGATTTGAACATTCCTCATTTGGATATATGCTTCTTTTGTATATTGTTCTTTATCTGATTTAGAGTGAGTCCAATTCCTTTGCCCACTAGCCGGAGGTTGTGTTTTATTAATACATTTGAGTTGGATTAGTGTTTGTTTTGGATTCTCTGGCGCTTCCAATGACATCTCCTTTTCCTCTGGAACAGGGGTATACTGTGGCTTTACCGAGAGCAAACTGGAAATCGTATGTTCACGCTTCCCTCCCATTTTGACCTTCTTAAAGCTGGATATCAATGGATGATTATTTTACTCCTCACATAGAATTGTTTCTCTAGTACAGTTTGGGCTGGTTTCTTTCCTCTGAGTTTGCTCTATATAATCTTGAAAGTGCCTTCTCAGATATGTTTAGTTTTGGCCTTGTTTCATTACAATCACAACGATACCAATTTCACGGTGATTGTTATGTGGTCTTCCCGTCGCAGATGTACTACTTTATTATGTCATTACTGTTCTATCTTGTTAACACACATATTTAAAAGTTTCACAACAGTACTTATCACCAGTCTCCAGTTTAAGAAACATTCTTCTGATGTTTGTTATGGATCAGTTTACTAGCGTCTATCATACCTATACGAGTTCTTGTCTTATCACATTGGTTTCAGGTGATTTGGTTGTTTAAACGTCGCTTTGTTGTTGCAGAGGATGCCGAACTAACTCCCGTACTGCGGCTTGGAGCCGGAGCTTGTGCTGGAATAATTGCCATGTCGGCAACTTATCCAATGGACATGGTACGAGGAAGAATAACTGTGCAGGTAATTTTTTATCTTTTGTCTGTTCAAATTCCTATGCTTACGGTTTTCTTTATTATAATGTGTTAGTCCGACAGACCTGCATGACTATGTTTGTCTCCTTTCTTTTGCAGACCGAGAAGTCTCCTTATCAGTATAGGGGAATGTTTCATGCTTTATCCACTATTCTTCGTGAGGAAGGTCCACGGGCTTTGTACAAGGGTTGGCTTCCTTCTGTTATTGGAGTTGTAAGTTCTGTAATTAGTGTGACTTTCATCACATGACATTTCTAAGAGTGCCTGGGTAAAATAGATGGCACATATTGTCATGTAATAGGAACATGTGGGCTTTTCATCTGCTCAACTTCAATTACATCTTACTTCTGGAGATTCATACTATTCTAAACTTCTTGCAGATTCCATATGTGGGTCTCAATTTTGCTGTATATGAATCATTGAAAGATTGGTTGGTTAAGTCCAAGCCTTTGGGGCTTGTTGAAGATTCAGAATTGGGTGTCACCACAAGACTTGCTTGTGGGGCTGCTGCAGGGACAGTCGGTCAGACCGTGGCTTACCCACTTGACGTAATTCGCCGAAGAATGCAGATGGTAGGATGGAAGGATGCCGCGTCTGTTGTCGCTGGTGATGGTAGGGGCAAAGCTCCTCTCGAGTATACAGGCATGGTTGATGCCTTCCGGAAAACTGTAAGGCATGAAGGCTTTAGAGCTTTGTACAAGGGTTTGGTTCCCAACTCTGTAAAGGTCAGTTTTGAGGAATCATGCTTTCTGGTGTATGATTTGCGTGTGCTATAGCATTGTGTATTTGGAATTTTGCCGCATCTAACTTTTATCTCATAAGATGTGTATTTATAATCTTTAAAGAAACACACATGATGACATGAGTACAGAAGCACACATAGTTGTGGATGTATTTAGTAACTTTTTTGATGAATTTTTCCCTTTTCTTAACTTATCTGATGAATTTTACCCTTTTCCATTGCATAAATGCCAATTTGCATTTCTTTTGGAAAATTTCTGATCTCTTTCATCAAAATTTTCTTTTCAGGTTGTCCCATCAATCGCTATTGCTTTCGTGACATACGAGCAAGTGAAGGACTTGCTAGGGGTTGAGATCAGAATATCAGACTAACTTAGAGAAAGCCTCACATAGATTTCTTTTTTCTATTGCATGTGAGATTTTTGTAGGCAAAGGATAAGAAGAGGGATCCGGCATGGTAATCATGTCCCTCTCATTCAAAGAGAGAATTTCGGAAGGCCCTGCTTTAGCCCGAGCCTGTTTGTTAGTTCTCTGTTTAGCCTTGTATCGTTTAGTGTTTTTTTGTTTCCCAATGGAAATGATGTGTCAATAATGCCCTTTGAGGAACTGTTTAATTGCCATAGAACTGCCTTGAGTGTGTAGTGTATCTTGTAATAATGGCTGTTAAAGCATGACACTTCCAGAGCGAGCGTTTGTCGGCTCTGATGACCAAGTTTGACGTGGATTCTACCAGATTCATTTGATCACATACAATGCATGAGAAATTAGTTCAAAGTTGGAGGTGCAGGATTGATTGGTAGTGATCACTGATTTGCTGTCCTAATTTATGCAGTTGCTTTGAATTACAGATTCGTCATCCGATATTATTAGGAAGTTTTGGAACTGTTTGGGGCTGGCAGAAAACGAGAACGATATTATTATAACAATGTAACCTTAAACATACAACTGAAAACAACTGAAAAGTGTACCAAAAAGAAGAAGACATTATGTATCCTACCTGCATCCTAACTCTCTACATCTGCTATTATCTATCACTGGAGGTAAGACTGATAATGGCTTTTGGAGTAGCAAAGCCAACATTGTGCTTTTCGCGACATTTGTTTGTTTAAATCTTCTCGTGTTTAGTGATCTCTTCACATTCGTCTACTGTGCCTGGGAAATAACAACACCAGAAACAGCTGAGGGCTAGGCAAATCATTAAGAAACAAGCTGCTTGAGTGCAGAAGTAGCAGAATCTTGTGTAGTAGTAACTAGTAATGTTAACTGGGAAACACTAGTAACATACCTGCAATCCTTAATCTTGGTCTGGAACCTTGCAGATTGGGGAGACGAAGCTCGGAATTCATTCGTTACTCTTTGTCTCTGAGAAATTCTTGGGACAGAATGGTGAGGTTGATTAGGATCTTTGAGGTTGGATTTAGTCTTGTTATGATCATCTTGGAAATCCATGAACTCCCCAGGTGCTGAGGAAAGGAAAGATAGCAAAACCACCAGGTTCAATTCTGTAAGTGTGGGTGATGTACGCAAACCACCACCACTACTACTACTAGTATCAGCAGCGTTTTCTTGTTCAATTTCTTCGCTCAAATCCGCACCATTCTCTTCTTCGATTTTTTCTTTATCCAAAATCTCATCAGCATCTCCTTCCTTCTTGTTCAATGGGTTAATTTCTGCCATTTGTTTTTAGCTTTCTGGCAAAGAAACCAAAATGCGGTGTTATAAAGTGTCCTATTTTATACTTCTTCTTCTTTTCTTAATATATTATTATTAACGAAAATTTTTACGTTAGCCCAAGATCATGTGAGGCATGCACAACTTTAATTTAAGGTTGTGATTGAGTGTTTGGAACAATTTCAGAAGAAAAAGGGGATAGCTAACTGGGAAAAAGAAAGAAAGAAAGAAAGAAAAAAGGATCTAACACCTTCTTAACGTTCCATGCAAATGAAAAATGTTAGAAGATTGAACAAATACGTTTACCTTGAATTTGATTGATTGATGACAAATTCTTCCCCTTTTCCAACCTTTGAAAATGATTTCGATAACAAAACATGATGGAACTTCTATGCTTCGGTTTTTAGAAATGGCTCCTGAGATGGAATGATCAATTGCGAAAGAAAGAAGAAAAAAGAATCCAGGTTTATATATTTTGGAAAAATAAGAAAAAAATTTTGGATTTGAAAATAACACCAGTAGAAATGTAAATTGGTGTATTTCCACACAAATTAGACGACGGAAAATCACAAGCTTATAATAACCTTTTCTTTTCTTTCTTCCTTTTTATTTTATTTTATTTATTTATTTTTTTTTTGGATTTGTGCGAAGTGTTTTGGAATGTTGAAAAAAGGTGACATATGTATGGAGCAAAAGTAACAATGGCCACAATCGCTTGTTATAAGCTTGGACATCACAAGCTTATAATAACCTTTTCTTTTCCTCATCCTCACCTTTTTTTTTAACTCTTTTTTTTTTTGCATTTCTACATAAAAATTTAATTTAGCAATAATATAATTAAATTTACTAAGTATTAATTATTTAGTATGTACCCAAAAAAAATATATAGTAGTATGTTAGATAAATTTTCATTTCAAATATATGTATCAAATTAATAGATGGAGGAAATGGAAGTATATACGTATGATCGATATTCTACTCTATAAATGAAATTCACTACTTAACCACACAGTAAAAGAAAAACTACTAACGTAACAAGTTAATATACTTCTACCACGCAATCACATCATCATTATAATTAATAAATTAGCTTCCTTGTTGGAGCATTCCACTTCACTGTCACATCCTGCAGTAATACACTCAAATATAAATTTCCTAGCACTTAAACGTGAACATATAGGCAACTTTGATCAGAATTTTAAACCCTATATATACTTTGTTTACAGAGAGAAATTATAGGAAAAAAAAAGGAGTTTATATAGCAATTTTGTAATTAGGTTCTGGGTAGAAAAAAAGATGGTGAAGAAGGTGATGAGCAGCTGCAGGTTATTGTTGGTGTTTTTGAGTATTGTTCTTTGGGAAAGCTGCCTTGGGGCGAAGCACATTGTTGATTGGAGTCCACACGCTGCTCAAATGTCCGTTCTCGGCCACGAATTTCATCCCGGTGATATTATGCGTACGATTTCTCTCTTTTTGTACTTTTTTTTTTCGTCTCGATGTGTTTACTGTGATTATCTGCGACGATAATAGAGTATTTTGATCGATGTTAAAATGTGGTCGTAGAAGGACGTGACGATAACTAGCCCTCTTTATGCATGCAGAATTCAAGTACAAGATAGGATACCGTCTCTACCAAGTAAACCACGTAGGCTATTTTTATTGCAATCACAGAAAAGGTGTGTTGCTGGGCACAAAAGGGAACACCAGCTTCCAGCTTAAAACCACCGGTTTTTACTTCTTCATTTCCCAGCCTTATGAATGTACTGTTTATGACCTCAAACTGGTGATTTTCGTCCATCCCACCAACTACACCGGAAATTGATGATTCGTGATTTTGTTTGTCATCTGAATATACATTTTTTCTGGCTGCCTGTTGAGTTGGTGCTGCCGGGCGTCAACTATCATCGTAAACCTGCAGTGGCGCATTTAAAATGAAAGAGGGCCGATATATATTACAAAAGGCAAAAAATTTAATGTCAAATTAAAAAAATATTGTACCCAATGACTTTTTTGTGTGAGTGTTTTTTTTTTTTTTTTTGTTGTTTTTATGTATTGAGAGATCAAGAAGTATCTAAAACATGATATTAGGAGCTTTGGTTTAGTGTTCAATGATTTAGAGTTTTAGACATTATATACAAGGAGACATTTTAAATTTCTGGATTTGAATTTTCGCATCAATAAAATAGTTGTAGTACTGGTTCGATATGATTTGTGATTTGTTTGGTAATTTTTATTTGGTTTATGACTTTATATTGGATGTTTTGGAATTTGTGCATTAATTAGTATTACCTCCGGTCCTTATTATAAGTGAAGCAAAAATATTTTCTAATAATTAAGAAAATACATCAAATGTGAAAATATATTTTTAAAATTTTTATTCCGATTAAAGGGACATTCTAGGTGAAACCTAAGACAAAATTAAATGTCTTATAATAAGGACCAGAGGGAGTACTATATTTATATTTCAAAATCATTTATAACACTGTACCTTTATTTGGCTTTTGAAATAATATATAGGACCTAAACTAATAAGTAATAAATTTATACATGTTTTAAATGGATTAAAAAAGTCGGAAACCAATTCAATCCAAATTAATTCTCTAGACCTGCAAATTACGGAGTGTGAATTACTTGACCTACACTCTAAATCTGCCTATAATCAATACTAAATACAGTTCGATCTGAGTGAATTTGCATGTTTATGTTTTTTCAGGTCGATCCACTTATAAAGTGCTTCATGCATTATCAGAAGTCTTGATTGCAGTGTCACTTTTCTTGAAGTTGATCGATAATGATGGACATTATTTACATGAGCACATTTTTTTTTATTTAATGGAAATTGCATCAAAAGATGAAATTTCTTATGAAAAGAGTGTCTCGAGATTGAATATTGTGAAGCTTTTTAGTTAGATTTCATATTTTTCAAATAACGATAATCTATATGAAATTCAGGAGAAGTTAGTTATCTAATTCATATCACCGCCACTTCATCGTCCTTTCATTGGGACACAAATTATCAATAAGTATTATAAAATATTTTGATTTATTCTAAAATTTACTTTTAATTGAAAAATACTTTTAAAAATATTTTACAATATGTAAGAGAACTCAATGAGTGTGAAAATACGTATTTAAAGTTTTTTCAATTAGAAAAAACTATTACTATTTTACCACAAATGAAAATATTTTATAATAATAAGGACCGGAAGGAATAGTAAGTTAGTGAAATAGTTTTCCTTATGAATTGTAGTTTTTTTTTTCTTTTTTAACTTTTGCAATATTCTGATTTAATTAACCAAAAAAGAAGAAGAAATGAAAAACAGTAGTCTGTATTCTTTTCTTTCTATATTTGAAGTTTGTATGAAACGATTTTCTCCCATCACAATAAACCCAAGAAAGGAAAAAAAAAAAATGAATTTTACAATTCGACGTGTTAGCTAGCGAATGACAACAAAAAATTGTCACAACAAACGACTAAATTCAGAGGACATTATAGCAAATTCAAGAACATTAAGGACTGGATATATATCTCTAGTCCAGATAATCATAATGGATTCATAGGGGCATAAAGTATAAATTTTCCAAGTCCCATTTCAGTGCTTCAAAGTTCCAACAACAGTTCTTGTTCATCTTGGGCTTTAAAATGTTTACAGAAAGAAGATGATTTTCTCCCAATTCAGGGCAAAGAAACTGGCTTTACCAGCTGAAAGCTAATCAGGTGCAAGTTTAAATCTTGGGTTTAGGGTGCTTTCTGTGTAAGCCTATCTTAACTTGCTCTAAATTACTTGGAAAGTTTGCAACTTTTACCTGTTTCTCTTCATTTGGGTTGTTTTAATATTTTCTTTCTGGATCGTCGGAATTGAAGCTCTTTATGTCTATGAGTTCTGGTTATTGCAAGTCACTTTGTAGCTTTTAGTTCTGTTCTGGGCTGGTTATCGTTTCATTTGCAGATGATGGCAATGTCTGCTTTAGTTGAGTTTAATTTATCATAAAATTTAGAAAAGGGCGAAGTTTTAATGGAGAGCAATGCAAAACCTAATGATAAAAATGAAGATTTTGACTATCTTAAAGAAGCAGAAGGTAGCAATAGATCAGTTTTGGCCACATTGAATGTGTCTACTAGTTCTGAGTTGCCCAAAAGCTCCACCTCTTCCTTTAGGGATAGATTTAGGAGTATCTTTTCAGCTAGAAATGTGCTACCTACTGATGGGAAGGCTATCAAAGAGTTCACGAGAAGAGATCCTGGGATATCGAACTCAGGTTCTGTAAGCAGCACGATTAATACTGAGGGACTCAATCATAGGGAGCATTTTCCATGGCAGAATAATCAAATAGTAAAATTTCCTAGAAGAGGAAAGACTTTGTTTCCTGCCGGGGTTTCTTGGGAAAAGGGCGGATCGATTATGAATTCTAAGAAGGATAAGAAAAGAAACTTTCCAAGTTGTGAGGAGCAAATGAACAAAGGCCTTAATGGAGTGTCCACTTTTATGGCAGGTGATTCTAGTAAGCTCGTCTCAAGCAATCAACCACTTGATGGGATTGATTGTTCAATAAAAGTTCTATCTACATCTATCTCTGAATCCTTCACCAAACAAAGTCATCGGGATAAAGTGGATGAATGTACAAATTCCAAGCCTCAACCTCAAATCGGACTTCACCCCAATTCAAGAAGTACGAACTCTTCTGGAATGTCAATGTATCCAGTAGCTGCTCAAGATGAGCTATCTTCCTATAGTTTGAGCATGTTAGAACCTTCTTCATCTGATAATGGTGAAGTAAGTTTGAGGGAATGGATAGTCTCCAGGACTTCTAAGGCTAAGAAAGCTGAAAGGTTGCACATATTTCGACGGGTTGTGCAGTTAGTGGATGCAGCACACGCTGAAGGAATTGTATTGACAGACTTGAGGCCGTCAAAATTCATTCTTGCAGAACGAAACAGGGTAAAGTACACCGGTTCATTTGCAGCAGCCGAATCAAGGGGTGTAAAAAGGCCATTGGAGGTGTAT